ATCCAAAACACGCAGCACTCCACAACCCTCACATCCACTCTCCCACAACACGTCTTCCCACCATTCCCACCTACCCTATGCTTCGCCCCAACACCAAACCCCGACGCGCTATGACAGGACCCCGCTTCACACACACATTCACTCACTCACGCCACCCCACAACGCACTCGGTTCCCGGTAGGGACTGCACTACTTCCACAACAACATCCACGGAACATCTCCACCCAGCCCCTCGTCTCTTACCTGGTTGTCCTTCACTGTCAGGTAGTGACCCGTCCGCTCCAGATGAGCCACCTGCATAAAGTACCCCGCAAGCATCGCTTTCCGAATGCTCACATAATAATCCCGGCTGTTGAAGTCTGTGCTGCACATCTTCAGGTTGTACCGATTCATGATGCGCACCAGCTGCGTCCGCACGTTGTCAGCTGACTTCATCGCACGCACGTTGATGAAATTGTCGTAACACCACGTGGCGTCCTCACCTGCACGTCCGCCCACACACCCGCCCACCCATTTCAGCCTTCCCACCCGACACTCTCCCTCCATCCGCGAACTCCCACCCTTACTCCGTTTGTGGCTCACATCTCATCCACCTCCTCCTCAACATCACACCACCACTCCACACAACTCTCTCTCTCTCCCTCTCTCTCTCTCTCTCTCTCTCTCCACATCCTACACTAACCTCCCACCTTCACATCTTCGCCATCCACCAACCCACTGCCACAACACACCACTACCACGCTTCCGTCTCCCCTCCCACGCACTCTCAACCCCCAGCGCATACGTCCCAACCATCCCCACCGCCACAACCAACACATCTCCTATGCTTCACCACTGCACCCTCGCATGCAGATTCACACTCCACCCTGCCCTCCGCACAGCCTCGACACACACCACTCATCATAACCACCCCTCTAAACACAACTCCCCAATCCCCAGACCCACAACGTACCGTTCTGCTTGTACGCATGGTACACGTTCAGAAGCGTCAGGTGGTCCCCGTCAATGTGCGAAAACCGAGCCTTCGCTTCGTCTGCTGCCTTTTGAGCATCTCTTGGTCGCAGAAAGCAATTGGGAACTAAACCAATTACGTGCCATTGCCAGATCATTCATGAGCCAAAAAATAATTTCACAAAAGTGACGGAAGCACCACCACGGAGGGTCAGCACACGCAGAGAGGGCCAACTGCCGTGCATAATGATGCACGCTGATGTGACTCTGCACCACTTCTTTACACTATCAACATCACAGCTCTAACCGCAGCCTACTGCTACAATCATCGTCATCAACAACAAAAACAACATTGTAATCATCCCATCCTTCATCATCCCAATGCCACATCCCTGTGACCGTTCCCCCTATCTACCCCCCACATCCCACCCTCCTACCAACGCTCTGCAATGCTATCACGCCTAACCAACACAATACGTCTCTTGCAAGGATCGCCTCCGCACCTGACAACATCGCCGTGATCGACAGGATCTCGTTCGAACAGTTGAACTCTGGGCTCACCACCAGCATCTTCGACATCTGTGGGTCAAGCGGAAACTCGCTCATCAGCTCTCCCAGCTTCGTCAGATTCCCGTCGTCGTCCAGCGCTGCCAGATAGTTCAGCAGCTCCAGCGCCCTCATCAGCGTCTCCGGTGCCGGAGGGTCCATGAAGTCGAAGTGCACCAGGTCGTCGATCCCCAACTTCTTCAGCGTCAGCACCACGTTCGCCAGGTTCGACCGCAGAATCTCCGGATACGTCTGCGGCTGCAGGTCGTTCTGGAAACTCTTCTCCGTGTACAGCCTGAAGCACTTCCCCGGCTGCGTTCGACCCGCACGCCCCGCCCTCTGGTGCGCGCTCGCCTTCGAGATCGGCGAAACCAGCAGCGACTCCACTCGAATCCGAGGATTGTACACCTTCTGCTTCGCGAACCCCGGGTCGATCACGTACACGATCCCGTCGATCGTCAGCGACGTCTCCGCGATGTTTGTCGACACCACGATCTTCCTCCCCGGCGGTCCCCCGTCCTTTGCCGGTGGCGGTGCCGCATCGAAGATCTTCTGCTGCATCGCTGGCGGCAGCGTCGAGTACAGCGGAACCGCCTTCACCGGCCCCACCTGGTCCCCCAGGTTCTGCACCTCCCTTCCTATCTTCTTGCACGCATCCTCGATCTCCTCCTCCCCCGTCAAAAACACCAGGATGTCTCCCGCCGGCTCGCAGATGTGAATCTGCACCACCGTCCGAATCGCCGCCTCCAGGTAGTCCCTCTCCGGCTCCTGCGTGTAGAATATCTCCACCGGGTGCAGCCTCCCGGGCACTTTCATCAGCGGCGCCCCGTTGAAGTACGCCTGGAACTTCTCTGCCTCCAACGTCGCACTCATCACCACCAGCTTCAGGTCCGGCCTGTTCTTCAACACCTCCTTCAGCAGCCCGAACAGCACATCCGTCGCCAACGTCCTCTCGTGCGCTTCGTCCAGGATGATCACTCTGTACCGCTCCAGCAAAGGATCCGTCATGGCCTCTCGCAACAGCATACCATCCGTCAAATACCTGCCCACACCCACACACTCGCCAATGTCAGCAACCTCAACTCCGCCATTCCACCGCGCCTACGGACAACCCCTCTCGCCCCTCCACCACATGCAAAACCTTCGCGGACCTTCCAACCCCCCCTCCCTCACTGCCTGCCTAATCCACTTCCACCCACTCCACACACCCCATGCCCGCCACGCTTTCTGATGCATTGCAATGGGCTACCCCAGCTCTTCTTCCTACACGACACAAAACCTGGTCCCAAACGCCAAATCCGCTCTGTAAGGGGGGTATCACGCGTACTTCAACGTCGTCTTCGGCCCGCTGCAATCCTCGAAACGAATGCTGTACCCGACCTCATCTCCAATGGTCACGTCCATCTCGTCCGCAACACGCCGCGACACTGACATGGCCGCCACCCTTCTTGGCTGCGTGCAAGCCACTTGCTTCCTGTTGCTCGTATACCCTGCTTCCACCACGAATTGGGGAATCTGCAACCAACCAGTTTCACCCCGTCAGACCACCTCTTCCCACTCCAATCCCTCGTCACTCTCAGCGCTGCGTTTCTTGCAACGCCAATCCCATCAACCACAGTCACCTGCGTGGCCAACAAACCACACAGTTCCCCTGCACCTCCTCGGGATGTGGGCGCCCATATCACCCACGATACCCTAATCCCCAACAACGAACGCCCTAATCTCGAATACATCATACAAACCGGATGTGCATCATGACATCATGAGACGGTGCCGCACCTGCGTGGTCTTTCCGGAACCAGTCTCTCCCACCAGAATCATCGTCTGGTTCTTGGCCAGGATGTTCAGAAACTCCGCCTTCTGCTGCCACACCGGCAGCGTGCGCCGCTTCTCCAAAATCTCGAAATACTTCGCCGAGTACGGCCTGCCGGTGTGAGGGTTCAGCACGGGACCGCCATTCGCTTTCATCTTCTCGGTTCCATTGACGGACTCGTCCACAACGTCGAACAGGCTTAACTTTCTCTTCCTCTCGCCCGCCATTGCTACTGCCTCTTCCAATTACTCCAGCAACTTAAACCCAAGAAACCGCTCCGATCCAGCCAAACCCAAACGACCGCCACGCCAAAACTTCCAAGTCAATAATCAATCTACAATAGCCGCAACAAAGAGTCGCCTCTCGCAGAGACTCTTCAAACACGCCTGGACTAATTCCACTTCTGCGGAGCCTCTCCGGGTCTGCAAAATTTGGCAAAACCCAAAACCCAAATCTCAAAACCTAATTTAACCGATTACGGCACGATTGTATGAACAGGAGAAACGAATTTGGTGGGGACAGGACCGATTCTTGGTCGGAAGCGTTGAAGAGGCCGATTGAAGAATTCGGCCAAGCGCGTCGAAGAGCGAAGCACTGGTGCCCCGGATGCGGGAAAAGGGAACACACCTCAGTCTGTTCTGGGCCTTTACTCTGACGGCGCAGCTATCATCCATTTGGATGGAAGTCATCTATAACTTTCATCTGAAAGAGGCATTGTTGTGAGTGGCCTCAATCCAATTCCAACTCTGTTTGCCTCTTTCAACTTGCTCTTATGTAGGTAACCTGAAACATTTGAGTCGGTAATTTTGAAATGTATTGAATGAGGGACGAAGGGACTTGATTATTCTAGGTCAAAATCATTCCACTTATAGACATTCTAGTGTGGTTTTTGTAAAGTGGTATTTGAATTATTATAATTGAATGATTAGTGATTAAGTTGTTTACATAGAATTTTGGATGATTTTTTGATATATTATGCAAACATAAAACTTAATATATATATATGTATATATATATATATTTATATTTATATATATATATTTTTGTAAAAGGAAAAATGAAGTATAGTAAAACAAATATATAAAAGTTTAAATATTAACTATTCTAATGCATTTTTTAAAGATTTTTTTTAGAATGAAAATTATAAATAAACAAATATTAGACACATAATAAATACATATTTACTAAATGAAGATCTAAAAAGCTCTTAATATCACTCTATTGTACTTAAAAGCTTTATTTGGCATTTATAATGAATAACTATCTTATTATCTTAATTGCTACAATAAGAGGCATTGATTTGTAACTTGCTATGCTACATAAGGCATTTTAATTTTGGATCAAAGATATATAAGTATTTATTCATAAGTTTTATAAAGAATTTTTTGAATGGCAACAATCAAGTCTTGCATAGGTTTGCATAAATTCTCCAAATCTTACATGAAAAAAATAATATATTTAAAAGTATAAAAATATAAATTGTAATTATTGAATAATAAAAGCTTATAATTTTTTTGAAACAAATTATCAATTTAAATAATTTTATTATGTACTTATATTAATAAATAAATAAATTAATAAAAATAATAGTAGAGATATTAATGTGGTGGTTAATTATAGCAAAGTGTAGTAAGAACTTTAGGTTTTTCCGAAGTAGTGCTATTACTTTTATCAAAGTCTTAAACATATGATCTAGCATTCTTAATAATTTTTAATTTATTTCTTATAAAATTCTAAATTAATTCTAAAAGTTCTTATACTATATAGATAATATGCCAATTTAGATATTGGTCTCAACAACTAAACACTAATTTTTACAATTAAGAAAAAATACTAAATCAACTAAGATAAATACCTCCAAGTCTTACTAAGATTCTATTTTTATGATTTTTTTTCTCCAACAAGACTGTTGGAACTTATAAATCGTTTAAAATTATAATAAATACTTAATTACTCGAATATAATTTATAATATTAATAATTTTATACATAAATAATTTAAAGCAATTTTTTTAATAATTTTGCCAATTAAGATCCATTGCTAGAAATTACAATTATTCTACAATGTTTTCTAAAGGTCTTATGTAATTTTTTGAATATATATATATATATATATATATATAGATATGATATAATTTTAATTTTATCTAAAATTAATATGATAAAATTTTATTTTATAAGATCTATATTTCTTTATTTTATTTATTTATTAATTTAATTTATAATAATCTTGGCAAAAAAAATTTTAAAAATAAAAAAATAAAAAAATAAAACCTTAGACTAATGCATGTAAAATTTATAGATCATTTATATTTTTTATTACAATTAACATTAATAAAATATTTTTGATAGAAGAGTTAATGCACGGATTAGAAGAACATAGTAGTCATTAATGTTATTAAGTTCCTAAATAACAATATTATATTAAATTTTATTTTATTTTAAATATTCTAAAAATCAAGTTAAAATCTTATGGTTTTAAATATGTTCTTAATGTGTATTAAAAAAAATTAAAAATAAAGTTCTAGATTTAAATATAAAAAAATCAAACTTACATAAAAATTTAATATTTTTTCAAATTTATAAACTACTATTAAGTAATTATTCAAAAAATATATATTTTTTATTTTATTTTATTTTATTTTATTTATTTATATTACCAAATTATAATTTAAAAAAATTGATGCAACAATATATATATATATATATATTTATATACATATATATATATATATTTATATATATATATTAATAATTAGTTTTTAAATTACTCATCTTTTTTAAAATAATCTAAAATATATAAAAATATGTATAAAATAAAATATTAAAAAATAATATTATAAATAGATTTTAAAATTTGATTTGGTTTTAAGATTATTTATTTAAGATCTTTTTCAATAATTATAAATTCATGTAAATTTCTAAAAAATACATCTTTGAAGTAATGTCATGGACATACATATTTATTCTAATATGATTAAATAGAAGTAGATAAAAGTAGATTTATTTTATAATATTTTTTAAAAAAGCTTCCTAAAAGATTCATAAACACTCTTTTGACTTTACATGTGTTTGTAGTTGATGGATAGGTTAGAAACTTAGTCAACAAGTTATCCACGTGTATATGGTTTAAAAAACAAGCTACCTTTATGTGGTGCACATATAAAAAATTTGCCTTGCTAGTTAAGATATATGTCTTCCAAAATCAACATATTTTGGAGATCTTATAAAACATCAGTAAATAGTTATTAGTTAAATAGTATATATGGAGGCAAGAGTGAAGTCTTCTTCACTCTTGTCAATGCCTTTTTAGTCTTTAGTCTTGTTTCAAGACATTTTAATTTTCTTGTTTTTTACAACAACCATTCTAATTCAATATATTAACATCGTTAAGTGATTTCTTAGTCTTTTTGAATGATATAAGAATGTATCAAGGTTTTTTTTTTTTTTTTTTTTTTTTTTTGATTCATATCTTTGATAGCTTGACAAGAATGTAAACTCATTATAATCTTATCTTATTTAGAAGTAAGTGGATTATCTCACTTCTATTGTTGTATCTTGAAGGTTGCAGACTATCCATATTTACACAATAGTCTAGTTTTTTAATATATATATATGTGTTTTTAAAGAGAGAGGATTATTCTTTTTTTGGAGATTTTTATTTGATATTAGAGGTTGTAGATTACCTTCTTGTAATTTAATTTTTTGAATTTATTTGCATTGTTTATGAAATAAAAGATTATGAATGCTACTTTTAATAAAAGTAAGAATAGATTTATATTTATTATAGATCTCCATGAGCTTGTCAACACTCTAGGAATAAAAATTTCATGTATTTATAATGTAAATCATAGTGGTACTACTCCTATACACATGGAAGAAGTCCATAGTCTATGCCAAAAAGTTGTACAGTTGAAGGAAGCAAGTAAATTAGCTTCACAATCAAATTCAAGAAGTCTTGCTTCTATAAGCAAAAGAGAAGGAAGGATTAATATTCTCAAGAAGTTTGATGGAATAAGATTAAAATTTTGAGGATTTTTGGAACAAGTTACTCTATTTAAGATTGCATCTTTTTTAATACTCCAATGGATTTATTCAAGTTAGTTTCATAGATACACTTCTATCAAGAAGAATTGTCTTTTGGTTTGGACTTTTGATGAAGAAAGATTCATGATTAATCTATGAGTTGAATTCATTATTCGAAGTATTTACAACTATATTTGGAGAAATGATCTAAGAAAGGTAGCAAAGACCAAACTTATATTATTGCAATAAAGATCACATTCATTTACCATATATGCTATTAAATTCTAAAATCTTATTTGTGATGTGGATTAAAATAACCAAGCCTTTATTAATTAATTTTAATATGGATTAAAAGATAATATCAAAGATTTATTATTGAAAAAATTAAGAGTAGATTTATTAGAATAATTTATTACTCAAGCCATTCTATGTGACAATTGAATTTTTGAAAAGTGCTAGAAATAAAGATTTGATTGAAGAAGTGCAAGTCAAGCCATAATAATACCTTCTAAATTTTCAAAAGCTTACTTGGCTAAACCAACGTCTATGAAAATTGATATAATACATTTTAAATCTCTTATTAAGCGAGAAAAGATTTTTTGTTGTTAATGAGGTTTGTACCTATATTATGGAGAATCCAAGTATATTACTCAATATTGTCCAAAGAAGCAGCATAATCACAAAATGATGAGCATGGTTGCCAAAAAAGATGATGTATTAGAAAATAAGTTTCTCTAACTATAATAGGGATTGTGTTGCTAAAATCTAGTATAATTCCTACTAAAGTTCATATTTTCTCCTAAGATCCTTTACCTTGTTTTATAATAGAAGTTTTTTTAGGACCAAAAAATCACAAAGTCTTAGTTTTATTAGATTTAGGATTCTCAACCTGTTTTATAGATGGACATTTTGTCAAAAAATAAGTTATATATTTATTTAGAAAAATCAAATCTATGCATGTAGAAATTATAGATGATTGTTTATTGTCTTCTAAAGATGTTATATATAAAAAAAGTTCTTTAGAATTAGTAATTAGTTATTATTATAATTTAATTATATCTAATGTGATTAAATCTCTTTCTAAATCAATTATTTTATGATTATTGTAGTTAAAAAAGTATAATCCTTAGATAGATTGGATTTCTTGTAACCTTAATTTTTTCAATAGTTTAGTATATAATTTTGCTAGGCAAATAGAAACCCATAAGATTGATATATCCAAACTATTATTGATAGGTGCAAGAACTTTCATGCATATTACAAAAAAGGATCAACTTTTGCTATAGAAACCACATCTATTATTAATAAAAAAAAAGATTTCAAGTAATATTTTAAATCAATATCAAGATTATTAAAATGTCTTTGAAAAAAAAATATAGATATTCTTCTAAAGCATTGTTTTTATGATTGTTCTATTAATCTTTAAGAAAGAGCTCAACCACTATTTGGACCAAATTATAGCTTATTATAAAATGTGTTGGCTGTACTCAAAAAATATATTGATGAGAATTTGACTAAAAACTTCATATGCTATTTTAAATCTCCAATCGGTATCATAGTAGAGAGAATTTTCTTTAAAAAAGTACTTGGCTTTTGGCTATTA